AAAAAAAAAAAAAAACCCTTTAAAATTGAAATAACCTTTCAAAATTTTAGAATCCTCCATATTTGCTCTAATTCCTTTTCCAATTTTTTTTGGTCATTTTCATTCTGAGAGTTTCAAAGTGCCCAAAAAGTCTAAAAAAAAAATTCCCACAAACTATTAATATAAGTTTCTCAACTGTCCACAATTTCCCTATTTACTTTATTGATATATACACATTTTCCCTAAACCATCTGAAAATACACTGGAGTCATGACAAGAGTTTCTCCATTATATATTTCAATGTGTATTTTTCAAGAACAAACTAGTTCTCTCATATAACCACGTTGTCATGTATCATTTGAGTTGGAGCCAACTCACAGCTGACCGACCCTAAGGGGATTTTCAGAAGCAGTAAAAAGTGTGGGAGGAAAATAGAAAAAAAAAAAAAAAGAAGGGAAGGAAACTGCTCATCTTTCTTCCCCAGAGCAGCTGGTAGTTTCAAACTGAGTATGTTTGGGTTGCAGTGCAACCCCTTACCACCAAGCCCCCAGCATGGTACATATAAAACACTCACTGCCATGGAGTTGGAGCTGACTCGTAGCTGACCATTTAAGGGGTTTCTGAGGCCGTAGATCACACAGGAGGCGGTCTGTCTACCTTCTTCTCAGGGAGCAGCTGGTGGACTGGAACTGTCAGAGAGGCATGGCCTTCGGCTTAGCGGTACAACTCCCTATGGACTAGAGCTTCCTGTTAATACACTGAGTTCTTAAAATTGAGAAATTTGATTGGTATTAGATTGTTATCCTAGTTTTTATCAATTGTCTCAATAGCAATTTTTCCTGGTCCAGAATCTAATGATCTAATACATGTAGTTGCCATGACTCTTTAGTATTCTTTAACCTGCAATAATTCCTCAGGTTTTGTGCTTCTTTATACTAATACTTTTTTGAGTACTCAGGCCAGTTCTTTTGTAGATGATCCCTTCACTTGCGTTTGCCTGATTTTGTTTCTCCATGAAGAGATTTAGGCTCCATGGTTTGAGCAGAAATATCACATATAGGAGGTTGCATTTTATTAGGAGGCAGATGATGTTGGCTCCTCCCAGTGTTGGGAAGGTCTGCTTTGATGGCCTGGTGAAGGTGGAGATAGATGGTACTAGTTTGTCCTAATCTTGAGACTGTCTGCTTTGATGGCCTGGTGAAGGTGGAGGCCAAAGATGCTGGCTTGTTCCAGTGTTGAGAATGTTTGCTTTGATGACCAGCAGGTGAAATCTTCTAGGTGTCATCACCAGAAAGTTAACTATTTCCCTTTATAAGTAGTTTTCTTCCTCTTTTTAAATCACTTTATTGAGATAAAATTTGGATACCATAAATAAAAATGTATTTAAAGCAGACAATTCAATAGTTTTTAGCATATAGGTACTCTCTTTTGAGTCTCTGTCTATCAACTTTACACTCTGAAATTTCTCTCGGCAAAGGCATGGCATCTCCTGATGACTAAATTCAATGACCCTCGTCTACTTTGGTGTCTGCCGCAATGTCACACATGATCTCTCTTGTACTCATTGAAGCCCTCGGCTCCAGGACCCCAAGGCCCTGGGCTTCCTCCTGCTCATAGATTGCTCTTTATATATCTGATTCTTTCTTATCACGCCAACTTTTTAATACTGCTGTAGTCCAGGGCTTTATTTTTTTATCTCTTTTCTGAACATACCTTCATTTTTCTCGGTGCTCACATGCATATTCATTGTTTTACTTCCCACCTACATCCTTGTGAAGGAGCCCACTGGTACAGTGTGTAACATGCTGGACTGCTAATAAAAGAGTTGGCAGTTCAAATCCACCAGTTGCTTCATGGGAGAAAGATTGGAAGTCTCCTCCCATGATCACTCACCATCTCAGAAACCCAGTGGAGGGTGACGATGAGTTGGACTCTGCTCAATGACAGTAAGAGCTGGTTATACATAGACAATTCCCACATTCCTATTTCTAATCCAGAATACTCACCTGAGATCAAGAATCATACCCGAGTGCCTCTTTATCATTCTTACTCGGCTGTCTAATAGGTATCTTAACCAGGCATGCCCCAATCATGCCGATGGTCTTTCTCCTATAGCTTCCCTAGCTCACTTAACAAGTTCATTCTCAAGTTATCATTGGACAGCATAGATACAAAATACTGGTGTCATTCTTGAACTTTCTCTCTTTCCTTGTGTCCCATTTACAATCTGTTAGCTAATCCTATTGGCAAACTTGGTAAGATTTTACCACTGCAACTACTACCCGCAGGCCCGAGCCAGTGTCCTTTCTTGCCTAGATAACCACAACAGCCACCTAATTGGTTTCCCTGCTTCCAACCTCACTTCCCTTCAATCTCGGGAAAAGCAGAAGCCTGTGTGAACCTGTGTCAGATTCCCTCACTCTCTATGCAAAACCTTCCAGTGGCTCCAATGTCACTCAGAGCAGAGGAAAAGGTGCTTACACTGGCTCCTGGGACTGGTACCACTGAACCTCTTGTAACCTCTCTGACTTCTTCTTTCTACTCCTCTTGTTCACACTACTCTTATATTCTTACCTCCATGCTAGTAGATTTCTCAAAGCTCTTGCACTAACGATTTCCATGTTGAGAACTCTACCACACTGAGTGGCTCCCTCATGTGACTCTTTCAGATCTTAATCAATGTCCCAGTGCAGCGAGCCCTTTCTGGTTACCCTATCAAAAATTGAAAATTGCATCCCACACTCCTATCTCCATGTTCTGACTTCTTGCCTGCTTTAGTCTTCTTAGCTACTATTGCATGCACGTACACATGTACACATATATCTAGTTACTATTACCTTTATCTGTCTCTCAATCCACTATTACCAGGCTCCATAAAGAGAGGGATTCTTAGCACTCTCATCATCTATCCCCAGGCCTACAGTGATCTCAGGACAGAGCAGCTGTTCAGTAACTGTCTGCTGAACAGATTCATGAACACTTTGAAATAGAACTTACCCGAGGAGGGATCTGGAATTGGTGCCAAGTGTACTCGCTGTAGAGCAGAGCCAATTTCTTTTTTCAAGAAAGAGGGGACATAATTTCCGGTCAATCCACTGGAACTTGTAGAGCCGGAACCAACTGGTACACAAAACAAAAATTCATGGTTACGCAGATATAGACACACAAGTAGGGACTAGGGAGAGCCAGGCAGAATAAGCAAGGATTAAGGTTTTTCTTTGAAAGGATTGTATGAAATATAATGTGAATGAAGAATAGTGTGAAGCACAATATATATTAAATTTGTAAGCAAACCAATTTTTAAAAAGTATATAAAATAGAACATATATGAATGTATGAAACATAATGTAACTGAAAGATTATATAAATCACAATACATATGAATGAAATATAATATAAAGGACTTATTAAATGAAAGCCAATAAAAGTATTTTTTTAAAAAAGGGGGAAGGAGAGAAAAATCACTAGGATAGCAAAAGCTGATGGGGGGAGAGAGTGTAAAGGAATGGAAAATGTTTAATGAGAGCTTGAAAAGACGGGGTAATAATAAGCATAGAGTAATGGTAATTATATATCATGTATATGAATGATTGTATAAAACACAACATACGTGCGTGAACATAATGTATATGAATGATTATATGTAAACACATAAAACATGTAAAAAAAGAAACAGAAATTAAGAGGAAGATGGCAGTGAATTCTGAGCAGATCATCTCACCATGCCACACAGTCAGAAAGACAAGGGGAGCAAAGACAGTGTTATGGCTACAGACTCCAACCAAATGGAAGCTATGTGATTTTTCTATAAAAATAAGCTTAGTCAACTCTGAACCTTCCTTTTTTTCACTCTATAATATAGTATACCTATTATTCCATGTCAATGTTCAAATAATTCTAAAGTATAGCTATTTTCATATTGACCATTATCCTCATTATTTACCTAGTACAACCTATACAATATTTCTTGTCAATAAATATATTTTTATGGATTATTTTTATAACAAAATTATATATTATTTAAATATATTAAATAATTTCACTTTTATATATTGAAATGCTTTGGTAGCAGGAACTATGCATTACAGAGCTTTGTGTTCCAGGAGATTAATGAAATGCCTGGGATAGAGTAGTTAACCTATAGTGAAAACATTTATATGGATGGAGGAATAAATATCTGTAATGCTTGTTCTTTTTTTAAATCTTTTTAAATTTTATTATTATTTTGTGTGTGTGTGTGTGTACCGTCAAATCAGATCTGACTGGTACAGGAGGAGATTATTCTTCCTTCTCCACCAGAGCATCTGGTGGATTTGAACTGTGCACTTCTGGGATTGCAGTACACCTTCTTGCAACTACGCCACCAGAGCTCCCCTTGCACTGCTTGTTCTTAAGGCTTAAAGAGATACACAGAATAATGAAGACTGCTGTCATTAACAATAATTATCAGTGGACGTAATATATATGTCACTGTTGTGAGAAGAGATAATAAAAATTGTTTTATGTCTTTACAACAGTGTCTTTTGCAATTGCTTAAGGCAAAGAGTGAAGAGTGATTTGGGAATGCATGTTTGAGTTTTGTTGGTTGACTAGAACACATTTTTCATTTTTGGTGAGTAAATAAATAGAAAGAGAAATGGGTAGTGAAGTTGAACAGGCAAATCACAAAAGAGAAAACACATAATAGTCCATCACACCAGAAAAGATGCTCAACCTCAGGAGTAAGCATGGCATGCAAGTTTAAACCACAATTAAGATACCATGTCACACCTAGATTAGCACAGATTTGCAATCTCCACAGTACCAAGCGGTATCAAGGATGCAGCATACCTCCCACACCCTAGTGGACAGCAATTTGGCAATATCTGTAAAGTTGGAGATGAGCACATCCTTTAACCTAAAATATGTACTCCTAGTTACTGTATCAAGATACATATGAATAACAACAGAGGCACAACAATGTCCATTTCAGGATTCTTTCTAACAGTAAAACATGTAAAGGATCTACATGACCATCAAGAAGGGAAAAGACAAATTATGATTCAGTATAATAAATTATGGTATGGCAAAAAGATACTTGTGTATATGTAAATCATTGCCACACACACCACACATATTTATTGAAATGTATGACCTAGGGATCCATGATTATATTCCTATAAATTTTTAAACACGTAAAACCATATTATGTATTTCGTATGTAGGGGGAAAAAATGAAATAAAACAAAAGCATGCATGGGGATAATGAACACCCAGATCAGATCAATGAAGGGAGGGGAGGGGAGAAGGTCAGGGTGAGCTAATCCATTCCACGTGTGTTTGCAAAGTTTCTTTTATTGAGATGGGTGGTGGGTACATGGATGCTGGGAATACAAGCACATAATAGACAAAGGCAGGGAGAAGTGATGCCCACATGTTTACTTGGTGATAGAGACAAGGAAGCTGGGGACTTTCTGTACTAAGGAAAAGCCATGTGGACAATTGGTCTTCTGAGAAAGGGGTCAGTCGCTGGTAGTCTTGGGAAATTCTTTCACCACCAAGAAAACCTGTTCTGGATCTGAAGGGAATTTGATGCCCAGGCATATGCCTAAATCACCACAAGGGGTCGCAGAGCTGGAACAAGATAGGGAGAGTCTGACTTCCACCTCAGAAGGTCAGCCATTGCATTACAGCCCAGGATCTCAGCACTCCTACTTTTCAAGTTATTCTTGTTTTCCCCTTGAACTCTACTTCCTAGCTACTCTTGAAAGGAGACCCCAATGGGCATTGGCTAAGATCGCAGAGCTAAATGCCAAAAGAGAGAAAAATAGCCTTCATGGTTCATCAACTCATCCCACATTTGTTTGCACCCTTCTTGCTACACCTAGAGAACCTAGCATTTTCTTTTATCAGAATTTTGCTCACCTGAATTAATTTTGCTGATTACTGACACCGTCCCTGAAGATTTTCCAGACAAACCAGAACTTGACCACGGATTAGATGGAACAAAGTCCTTGCCTGGATTCGGGAGTATGCCATTCCTTAGATTTGCATTTATTCCTAATGGGGAACAAATGATTTTGAATGTAAAACACATACTTAATCTTGAACCTATTTCAGCGATGAAATCAATGCGGAATCTAATTGGTCAAAACTTCCTGCTAGACTGTCATTATAGCAAAACTGAGTGTCATGTGCTAGATGGCAGAGGACAGATGAAGCTTTTGGTGGGGAGGGATGGAGTTCAGGGGACAGTTCTCTTGAGAGTGGCCAGAGAAATGTCTCCTAAACTTCCACCAGGGATCTCTCCTGCCTCTTGACTCCCTTGGTGTTGCAATGGGCTTTCGTGCTCCCAGACTTTCCTAATCTCTCCCTTTGTAAATTACTTCTTTCCTATCACTTGTCCGACTTGTTCTCCATCCTCTACCCTCAATCCCTGGCTCTGTTCTGTCTAAATTCTGTCCCCATGAGCCCATTTATCTCACCTGCTCTGACCATCATCACTACCAAATGTAAATAACCTGGGTCTGTATCAACAACCTTCACTGCCTAGAACCTAGCAGTGAAGTGAATGCACCTTCACTTTTAGTACAGGCTAAACACCAATACTCCACTTTCCCTCTAGACTTGTTTGGCTTCCCACTTGTATTAACTGTGGCAGCTACATTTCAGAACAGAAAGATGGAAGTCATCTTTTAGCCTACCTTTCTCCCCCAGGATTGGTTAGAAATCACTTCCCTCTTCTCTCCCTGTGTCCATTAGCTTGTGGTTGTAATAATTTGTGTTTTCCCCACCCACATTCTATTACTGCTCTATCCTAGCCTCTAGTATCTCTTAATACTAATCTTAATGACAATCTTGATAAAACAAGCAGCAAACCACATCTAACTTCTTTTAGAAGGCCAACATTCCACTGATACAGAATATAGGGGAGGAGAAACCACCACACTATAGGAAAATGACAAATCAATATCCCTCCTAACTGGAGAAATGCAAACAAAATTTTGGCAAATCAAAACCAATCAGCAATATAGAAAAAACTCATTATACTATGATCTACTGATTTGCAAATGCTTAGACATCTTGCATCCCTGGAATAAAATTCTATGTAACTGGTTTAACATTTGAAAATCAATGAACGCTCGCTACAAGGTGGCTGTTGTTTGCTGCCATTCACTCATAATGACCCCATGCAAAACAGAGCAAACCCCTGCTCAGTCCTGTGTCATTTCCATAAAATTCAGATCAGATCTTGTGATCCACAGTTTTCACTGACTAATTTTCAGAAGTAGATCACTGGGTCTGTCTTGCTAGTTTAACGTCAATCTTGATGAAATCTGGTAGGATTTAGAAGTGAAGGAGTCAATGCACCATCAGGGATGGCATTTCAACCTTTATCCCCTCCCCTGGCTTCATCCCAGGACAAGTCTACACAAACAGGGGTCACTGCTACAGCTTGCTGGTCCTCATACATGTAATAGAACCATCTTACTCCTCCGATTATAGCCCTTCAAGAGCTTCCCATTGCTCGTGAAGTAAAAATCTTCATTTCTTTTTTTGTTTTTTGTTATTATTTTGTGTGCGTATACCGTCAAATCAGATCTGACTGGTAAAGGAGGATATTGCGCCTCCTTCTCCCGCAGAGCGTCTGGTGGATTCGAACTGTGTTCCTCTGGGATTGCAGTGCAGTTTCTTGCCACTAGGCCACCAGAGCTCCCCAAATCTTCATTTCTTACAACACCTCAAAAGATATGGTCCCAGTCACCTCTCCAACATCTCCTCAGACTACAGCAGCCAAACCAGTTGATGCTGAGTTTACTCCAACTCACAGTGACCCTGTGTGTCCTGGAGCAGAACTGTGATCACTGGAGTTTTCAGTGGATGAATTTTTTCAGATGTAGATTACCAGCCCTTTCTTTTGAGGTACAAGATCTGGGTGGATCTGAATTGCTAAACTTTCAGTTAGCAACTGAGCACATATACCACCCAGAGACTCCTCACTCCACGGCCTCCTTCTCTTACTACTGCAAAGCTTTTACACTCATCTCTTCTGCGTGCGATGCCCTTCCCTTGGCTCTGCATTTCTGGCTCCTTCTCATTCTTTCAAGTCTAGCTGAAAGTCATTTCCTTAGAGCTTTCCCCCACCCAAAACTGTGTCTTCCCCCTTTTCTATCACTCCTTATGTTACTACCGTCTATAATTAGTGCATTTATCTGCTTGTTTAATGTCATCCTCCCCACCACTAGAGTTTGAGCTGCACAAGGGTGGGGAAGTTGTTATAGGACTGCTGTATAAAACCAAAGCATCGACTGTGAAGTGGGAGGCGCCCCCTGGAGTACTGCCACGTAGCAGTCATGCTTGGCTGTCTTGCCGACCACATTCCCAGGACCAAGCTCATGAGAGATGCTCAGTGCTCAGTAAGTATTTGCTGAGTGAATGACTCTGTGAATGAATGGCTGGCTCACACTAGAAAGCCTGGAATACAAAGAATCTGGAGTGAGGCTTAGGAATCCAGCAAACAATTAACTTTCAAAGCTTCATCCTTGTACTAGGGATGGTGTGACCAAGCTTCGTCCCCGCCAGGCTTCCCAAAGTGCACAGGATTGACGATTTCTCCTAAACCTTTATGTGCTGGGAAGGCCTCAGATACACTACCTTGATTTTGCTTGCTCCTCCCTTTCCAGATTCCAGAGCTGGTTTCCTATGGCAGATTTCTTTATCTTAGGCAACTACATAAGATAAAGATATAAGGCATGGGCTTCCACAACTATCTCTCTGATGTTCTCACAGTTCTGAAGAATTACCCTTAAGTGCTTGCCTTTCTAAAACAGAATCTCTGTGAAACTGTGTTCCAAGGAAATGATTTCCCATCAATGATCAAATTTAAGGCAAGGCAGTTCTCTTACCAGGCAAGTATCTAGAATGCTTCAAATAGTGCTGCTTGGCCGTGGACCTCAAGGTGGGGGTGTCTCGCCTCTGAGAGGAAGTCTGGGTGGGGGCGCTATTTCCTGTACCCACGTGCTCAGAGGGCTTCAGATCCAAAACACTTTCAAATCTGGGTTGAGACAACGTGTTGTGGGTCAGCACATGCAAGGAAGCCCCTCCAATTGTGTAAAAAAATGAGGACCTCACCAAACCGCAGCCCCCCAGGTCCTTATACACAACACTTGCCTGCAGAGCGTGTCCTCGCTCTGTCGCTTCTTGTTCTTCAAGTCAATCCTGAGGTGGGCTGGACTGAAATTCAGGTCATCCAATTCGGCCCAATCATCGGAATCCTTTGTCGACCTGGAAATAAGACCCCACCTCCTCCTACTCTTTGGCTTGATTTCACCATTATTGTGCTCCAGATCAGATAGCATCTTCTGTGTAGTCAAGTAAAGAAGGCAGAAAAGTAAGATTGGCCATTAAAGGAGCTCACCAGTGAGTCATCCATATGCTATACATTTGCATCACTTCCTCTGTTATGCAAAGGAGGATTCTGGCCCTGTCCTTTCCCAAGATGCTGACTTGACACTGTCTCTCCTATCCTGACAGATTTCACTAGTATGCATCCAGTGAAGAATGGGGTCATTATTATATAAGGTTTGATACCTCTCACATGCTAAAAGGATGGCTTGCTTTTGATTTAGGCCTCTCATTGAAAGCTCCTGGAAGAGTTAACATGCCTTACACTGGTCTAAGCAGAGAGATAAGGCTAGGGTGTCGGGCATTCTGTTTTTTTCTCTTTTTACTCTGAGTGGAGTGAATGTTTACAAAGCAAATTGGTTTTCCACTCAACCATTCATATCCTGCTCTCTCATAGAGAACAAGGCAAATGAAGTCTTCCTTGCTTTCACAGCCGGCTATGCAATGTGACCTGGATATACTCTTATCAACAGAATCAACCACACTAGGAAAATTCCCGACACTCCATCTCTACGTGTTTGGTTAAGATCTCATTTTGCGCTAAGAGTCGTTTTTGCTTCTGTTGAGTGCTGTCATTTCTGACCGGATAGTGATCCCATGTGACAGACTGGAAATGTCCCACAGGGTTTTCTTGGGACCCAAGTCTTTCTTCCTCGAAGTTGCTGGGTTGGTTTGAACAGCCAACGTTCAGTTAGCACAAAGTCATGATTACAAAAGTAAATCTACTCGAATTGAACCTTGTTGTTAGGGGCTATCAAGTCAACCCCACGTACAATAGATTTGAGCCCTGTCCTATCTTGCATCATCCTTAACATCTCTGACATGCATAAACTGAAAAAGAAACTTATGTCACGCAACAAATGGAGTGAGGAAAGGAGGAAAGGAACAAGCCAGACATGAAGCCCACCGGTGACCCCACAGCTTACCGACTGAGGGTTCTTGTTGTGGAGGGATGGGAAGAGCAGCGGGCTTGGCTTGGCTTCCTGGGGATGATGGCTTAGGTGGTCTGCCCTGGCAGCCTCTGCTTTGTAGGGATACCCGGGGTGTGGGGCGGGCTGGCCGGCTTGATGTTGTCTTGAGGAAATCCGAGCGTGTGGCTTGGCTGGGGGCTGGGCCGGAGGGGCTGGTTTCATGTGGGGAGGTAGGCCTGCCTTTTCCAGAACGTCTTTCTGTGGTTTTCCTGCATTCTGGATGGTGCTGCCTAGTGGGTGCCCAATATGAAAATAAGGATATCGAAGGGCCTAAAAGGACAAAAAAAGGCAGTGTTTAAAAAAAAAAAAGTTTTCCTGTGAAGGTTAATATCATCAGGATCACTGGAATCTATCCTGTGTGACTAGCTTACTAGTTTCTTAAGCCCCCAAAGCCCACTGTCACTGAGTTAGAATCAATTCTGATTCATGGCATCCTCCCATGTTACAGATTAGAACTCTCTCAAAGTTTTATTGGCTGTAATCTTTATAGCAGCAAACAGTCAAGACATTTTTCTATCGCACCACCAGCTGGGTTCGAACCTCCAACTATAGTTTAAGAGTCAACCATAAACCACTTGTGCCACTAAAGACCTTTCTTAGTCCAAACCAAATTTAAGCCAGTATCATGATAAACTGCTACACAGATTTAATTCAAAGAAAATATATTTTAAAACATTCTCCAAAGACAGATAAAAATTCTATCTAAAAATAGATTTAAAAAGCAGTGCTAGGGGAGCTCTGGTGGCCTAGTGACAAGGAGCTGCAACTACAATCCCAGAGGCGTACAGTTCGAATCCACCAGATGCTCTGCCAGGTAAGGAGGGACAATCTCCTCCTGTACCAGTCAGATCTGATTTGATGGTACACTCACACAAAAATAATAAAATAAAAATTTAAAAAAAAAGCAGTGCTATTTTTATGTCTACACATATGGTGAGGTATCATACAGATTGGATCCCAAGTTTCAAAAACAACTACACTGTTTAAATCTTAACTACTACAACAACACACAATGTTGTTAAGTTCGTGAATCTTATGTAGGACATTGTTAGTGGCATTTGACATGTATTTTCACCCACACTACCAAGTGAAATATTTCCCACGAGACGTGCAGAAATTTTTTTGTTTGCCAAGAACATATCAAACAGAAAGAAAATGAAAGAAAACCTGACTAGCTGTTGGTCGTTTCTTTGGATCCCACTGAAGCATGTCTCTCATGAGCTGAATTGCTTCGCTGCTCGCGTTTGGAACCAGGGTCTTTAAATTATTGGGTATACACTGGGGCCAGCGGAAGTTCATAGCACTTGAAAGTTGGTAGCCCTCAGGCCAATCAGTCTGAAAGAACAAAAGTTAGAAGATATCACTCAGCCAATCACTGAAATAGGAGTGTATATGCTGATGTGTGTGTGTGTGTGCCCATAAAGGAGAGACAATTGCTCTGTCAGCATGCCTGCATTCCCTACTGTTCAATGTGTGTGACCAAACAGAGGGGGGCACTAATAGACGAAAACAACGTGTAGTCTGGCAGATAGTGGGAAAGACCCCGAGATCATGAGTCTACCATTGTTTACACACTTTATACAAGAAAGTGCATCCCTCTGGTTTCAAGGTTGAACCAAATTAGTATTTTTTTTCTCCTCTATGTTCCTTAATACAGAATTTTTAAAAATTAGTAATATCTATTTTTGGAGGGGCAGGAAAACAAAATTTCTTATTCTGGCAAAAACGTTCAGGAAACCCTACACATTACTAAAACCCCCATCTCAATGATTCAAAACATACATTGATATCGTGAGGTTCTGGGAAGCCCTGCAGTAGGAAAAGCTGTTTTGCTCAGACGTAAGCTCTTGTTCATCATCCATCATACTAACGGGACCCTAAATGCTGGAATGAGTGATGGAAATGGTGCAAAAAGGTCTGTATCCTGATAGAATTACTTCTTTCTCTCTCACTCTTAAAAAAGAGAAGTAGCTCTATATAGTAGAGCAATCCCACTTACTCATTCACTTGAATATTTACTGAGTGCAGTTGGGTATTCAAAATATTAAATAAAAATTCTGTCCCTAAGGATATTATTGTATAAGGCGGGGGGGGGGGAAACCCCTGACATTTACTTGAAAACAATGATGACAGAATAAAAAATGACAAAAGCCATCACAGAGAGAGATTCCAGCAGTGGCCTCCGGACATCCTGAAGGGAACGCATCGGCAATCCACTGAAATGATTAGAACGTGCGTTTGTGCCAGCAATGGTGCTGGCATACAAGCACAAACTAGAGTCCAGGAAACATGGGCACGCAGATAATGAATAACATGGAACACAGCATGCACAGAAACACGTGAAAGTCAAGAGAGAAGCTCATAACATCCCAAAGAATTCAGAGACTGCTTCTTAAATGTGACATGTGATTTGAGTCCTGGTGTGGGGGACACCTTCATGAAGACCAGAGGGACAGCGTCCCCCACAGGTGGCCCAGTTCTAATAGCAGCAGTGGATCTTGGAAAATTGAGAGATATTAGGTAAGGAAAGTTAACAGGATTTACTGGTTAACTGCTTGGGTCACAGAACACAACGTGCATGGATGAGAGAGTTGGTAAATTGGATGAACAGGGATGAGGCAGGGGCTCAGAGATCAAGATGGGCCCAGAGAGAAAAATGGGGACTTGAAGGAGGAAACTAGTAGGTCAACAACAAACAATCTTTTTTCCCAATACAAAGAGCTGAAGTGAGATGGGACGAGTCGAAGTAAAAGGTCACAGATTATTCTAATGATGTGAATGAGAAAATGAAGGAAGTATGAATGACAGATTACTTTCAGATATCTGGGGGGATAATGAAATTGTAGTCACAAAGTTCTGAAAGAGTGGTGATATGGCACATGACAGTGTAATCGGGAGCAGAAGGAAGAAAAGACGGCAGCAGTGTCAGAAGACAGGTAACAGAATTTCTCAGACCGAAAGGAAAATTCTAGCATAAACAGGTCATCACTAGTGCCAGAGCAACTTAAGGGTTCAGGAGGAGAATGCAGGGAGCTGCTGGCTTTGTCCCATAGGCCTGTCTTCATTCCACAGCATTACCTTTTTTGGTGTCCCCAGCACTTGGCAAATTTTGAATATGGTGTCAATTTCACTGGCCCCGGGGAAGAGTGGCCTTAGCGTGTACACTTCCGCCATGATGCAGCCCACGGCCCAGATGTCAATGGGGGAGCTGTAGTTGGTAGACCTCAGGAGGACTTCTGGAGCCCTATACCTGGGGGGACAAAGGTGACCTGCTAGTGACTGCTTCCACTGCTCAGAAACAAAAGAGTATAGGCAAGTCTCAGGGAGAGAGTTTATATATTTGTTTTCTATCTTATCAGGTATGATACACAGACTTACAGAGGACATAGCAACTGCCATGGCTGTTACTACAATGCGGTACTTCCATATTTTACAATATTTTCTACTGACTATTTCCTTATAGGATTTTTCCAATTGTTTTACACCATCTTTGAGAAACACATATAATATGTGGACAAAGAAAGAGAACACAATCTGTGCTATGCAGAGTAGTTGAAGGTTATAGAAAAATGCTTTAATTAAATTCTTAGGGTCTGAATGTTTTACAAATAGCCATTAATTGGTTTTCTACACAGTTTCATGGAGAATGTGATCTATCACACAGCTCTTGGGAAACTGTCCTCAGGAAGGCCTATATGTAAAACTTTATTATAAAAACCAAAGTGGTGTTATCGTTGTTAAGTGCCATCGAGTTGTAGGTGACTCAGAGTGACCCTATAAACAAAAGACCTGAACACTTGTATAACTTTCATCCTTTCTCCAGGTTCATAGGGTCTCTGTAGGCAAGCTATTTCAGGAGTGGATACCACTGCTGCTTCCAAGGTTGTTTTAATTGGGGAGCTCCACCAAACACTGTCCACCATGGGTAACCATTATTGCATTTCACACATCAGTATCACAGTGTTCAGCATCACAGCAACCACAAGTTACCTCTGTACAGCAAGTGGACAGACCAGGGCTATATGACCTAGAAGAATGTTTGACCAAAAACAATTAAAAACAGGCCTGAGGGATGTGGATTAAAGTCACCTACCTTTGGCTTGGAAGCATCACTTTCTGTTTACTAGGCCAACTAATCTCTATGTTGTTGTTGTTAAGTGATGTCGAGTCATAGGCGACTCATAGTGACCCCATTGGATGAAGGACCTGAACACTTGGATATCTTTCATCCTTTCTCCAGGTTCGTAGGGTTTCCGGAGTCAAGCTATTTCAGAAGTGGATTCTACTCCTGGTAGCTTGCTTTTAAAAATTTATTAACACAAGCCTTTAATCTTGTATAACACAAAACCACCAACACAAGCGTTTCCAACATCACTTCTTCTCCGAATGGAAAGTTCACTTCTGTGACTCTAACATGACCCTCAGTAAAATGGTATCATTTTATAAGAAATACAACTGAGTAATTGTGAGGAAAATCGTATTCACCATCTAGTAGACACATAGTCTGTGTATGGGGGTCTTGAACGGATTTCTCGGGCCAATCCAAAGTCTGCGATTTTCACTAGATCTGGTCCCATGCACAGAAGGTTCTCGGGTTTTAAGTCTCGGTGGAAGAAGCCTGTGGAGGCAGAGGAGACGCAATTCAAAAGCAAGTTTGCATCTTTGTTACTTTTTAGAGCTATTCTACTCTTTTCATAACAACTTTAAAATGTAAAAAGCAGCCTGGCATGACACAGAAGTCTGTATACAACCATCTTGCTGACTCTGTAGAGTTCTTTGGGCCTAACAATGTGTTCAGGGATTCTTTTCTACCTCTTAGTTCATTGTGTAGTTCCTAGCATTGTAAAAGCTTGCACACAGCCATCCTAGGTGCAAAATTTGGTCTCTATTTTCCTGGAGCAACAGATGCCAAAAGAGAGTCAGGAAGAAAAGAAGGACAAGGAATTTGTGGCCCCTTTCCTCCATGAACAACTTGGCATCTCTGCAAAGGGAACAAAAGAACTAGATGGTGCCCTTACTGCCACCACCAAACATTTGATCAAAGAGGAATCTTGATTAAAAGATGTTATGGTAGTGGCAAACATAATTTCAAATTCTCAAAGAATCTAGAATTTCTGGAACCATGGCGGCTGGATGATCTGCTGAACCTACTGTTCCAGAATAATTTCTAAACATTAAACAAGAAACAACTTCTGAAATCTTAAAACCAAATAACAACTTAGCTTAAGGAGTAAATAATGTGTGTTGTGAGCACTATGACTTCAACAAAAATACCAAAGGTCAGAAAGGAAACTTAGAGGGCAGAAGAGTTGTATTAACGAGGAGGGAATAACTTAAAAAAATAAAAATTTTAAAAAGGGTGGGAACAGTTGTACAATGTCAAGAATGTACTCAAAGTCACTGAATTACACATGTAGAAACCATTGAATTGGTATAAGTTTTGTTTGTGCATTTTCTCAGCAACATAATTAATAGTCTGTAAAAAACAATATCATCTCAGAAGTACATGGTTCAAATCCACCAGATGCTCTGCTGGAGAAGGAGGGACAATCTCTTCCTGTTCCAGTCAGATCTGATTTGGCAGTACACACACACAAATTAATAAAATATTTTAAAAAACCACCCCAAATAGAAACTTATGGGATGGCGTAATTTTTCAAAAAACAAAGTGTCATTCAACTGAAAAATATCACCCCTGCCCTGTTCAAGTCATTCAGAAATAATTTGTGATTGAAATAATTTCAATAGACATTTTTAAAGACACTGATAAGGAATATGACTCACAGTCTCTCCTCCTGTAAAGACTCACAGTCTTGGAAACCCAATGGAGGGTAGTTCTGAGTTGGAATTGACTCAACGGCAGTTTGGATTCATATCTGAATTCATATGCATTGAGCTGATGCCAATAGTGACCCACCATTCAGTTTCCAAGGCTGTACATCTTTATAAAACTGCCCATCTTCTGACAAAAGGCTGGTGGATTCAAATTACTGACTTCAGTTAGCAACATGTGACACATTGCATTGTCAAAGATCTCATTTTACTTGGATCACAATCAACATCCAAGGAAGCAGCAGTCAAGCAATCAAATGATGTACTACATTGGGAAGATCTGCTGCCAAGAACCTCTTTAAAGCGCTAACGAGCAGGGATGTCACTTTAAAGACTAAGGTGCACCTGGCCTAAGGAAGTATTTTTTAATTGTTTCATATGCATGTGTATGTTTGATAATTAGTAAGAACTGTTGCCTTTGAATTGCAGTGTTGACAAACAATACACCACAGACTACCAAATAGAACAAGCAAATATGCCTAAGAAGAAGTACGGAGTACTCCTTAGAAGCAAGGATGATGAGATTTTGCCTCACATATTTTGGGCATGTTATCAGAAGGGACTAGTTTCCAGAGGACAAATATACAAACCACCTTCATTAATTCTTTCTAGCAATAAATACTTACTGATGGCTTACTCCAGGGCAGGCACTGAGTTAGCCTTTGTAGATTCAGAAGAAACCTAAATGGACCTGGTTCTTGTGCTTAAAGACATTAACGGCGCCTTCCTTGTTTTCATGTATGCTATCCTTCTCTTCCCTCAATATGGATTATATCTCAACATCAAGAAAACAAAAGTCTTCACAAATGGGCAACATCGCAAAAGATGGAGAAAGGATTGAAGTTGTCAGTGATTTCATCTTGCTTGGATCAACAGTCCCTTGGTGTTAGGAGATCAGGAGGTGTATCGCCTTGGGCAAGTCTACTATCAGGGACCTCTCCAAAATAGTGAAAAGCAATGATGTCAGTCTGAGGATTATAGTGCATCTGATTTAGGACATGGTCTTTTTAATCACTTGCTATGCATCTGAGAGCTGGACAATGAATTAGGATGACAGAAGAAGAATTGATGCTTTTGAGTTTGGGTAAAGAGTACTGAATATTCTCTGAACTGTCAAAAGAATAAGCATATGTCTTGGGGAAAGTGTATCCACAGTGCTCCTTGGAGACAAAGATACTGAAGCTTCATCTCTCCTACTCTGGGCATGTTGCTAGGACAGGCTATTCTTTGGCAAAGGACATCACGCTCATCAGTGGACTCAAGTGTGTCAGAGATGAAGAGGATGGCACAGGATAGGACAGTGTTCAGATCGATTGTCTCAAGGTCACTACACCTCGACAGTCCCTCACGACAACAACCTTCTATCACTAATCTTGAAATCACCTTAAGAAGCTGTGGTATGTACTACTGAGTGTGAACTGACCCATAGCTTACCCTACAGTGGGGTTTCAGAAGCTGAAAGTCGCTCATGAGGAGATTAATCATCTTTCTCCTGAGGAGCAGATGATGAACTCAAACCCACTGTGGCAGGCTGGCTGTGCAACTCCTTACCTACTTGGCCAGCAGAGCTCCCTTTAAGGGAAGACACTTATATTTCTTCCAAATATCTAGCACAGCAGCAAGCACATGGTAGTCTCAAAATACTTTTTTTAATTTTTAATTTTTATTTTATTATTTGTGTGTGAGTGTACCAGATTGTCCCTCCTTCCCTGGCAGAGCATCTGGTGGATTCGAACCGTGCACCTCTGGGATTACAGTGCAGCTTTTTACCCCTAGGCCACCAGAGCTCCCTCAAAATACATTCTTATTGATGGAAAAAAGTGACTTGGGAAAGTTGTGCAGGGAAGATGAAGGAGTTTAATGGTCTGCCTGCACCTATCTAGACAGGAGCAATGGAGAGCAGATCAGAGCTGTTGAGTGATTAGAAGGAGGAAACACTGTTAGAGATCAAACACGCATTGACACAAAAGTGAGTGGCAAGTAGTTAGGGGTCTGAAGGGGAGCCAAGAATGAGGGCTCAGTAATAGAAGTCCTTATCACAGGAATGGTAGAAGAACTGGACATATTAACCAAGAGTCTTCCAAAACTTAGCTTTGCTTTAGGAAGAGGAAATGATATGGCTGTATGTCATATGAAAGGATACTCCCACCTATACACCTTTCTGAAGGCAATAGGGCTTAGTATTAAGTTCCAAATGCGTAGATCTATGGCATAATGAAAGGTCTTCAAAGTAAATGCCTGGCTAAGGTCAAGAGAATTACAAAGGCTAGAACCCAGTGGAATGGGAAGGTGAGGAAGAGAAGTATTTCCTTTCTACTATATCTATTTTCCATAAACCAGGGCATGGGTCAGGTCCTTGGTTAGCATGTAGCTGCTAAGCAAACATTTGGTAGTTCAAACTCATCTTGCAGCCCTGCAGGGGAAAAGACCTGGTGATCTGCTTCCATAACAATTTCCACATAGGACCCTCTATCATATAGTTTTCCTCTGTCACTATGAGTTGGAATGAATTGACAGCGTAGAATAAGAGGAAAGCAGGGACGAGGACAAAGCAGTTAGAGCTGGGTTAGCCTGGAACCGAGCATGGACATTTTGCTAATTTGTTCAGCATCTATGAAGAGACAAATTGTTAAGAAGGAGCTCTGGTGCCCTACTGGCAAGAAGCTGCACTGTAATCCTGAAGGCACTCGGTTCAAATCCACCAGCTTCTCCACAGGAGGATGGGCATCTCCTCCGGTGCCTCTGAAAACCCGCTGGAGGGTCAGCTATAGCTTGGTTCCGACTCAATGGTACACAACAAAAACAATCTAGCTCTGGTAGCCTAGTCCATAGGGAGTTGTGCTGCTAACCCAAAGGCTGAGCCTCTTTAGCAGTTCAAATCCACCAGCCACCCTCTGGAAGAAAAGTCGGCACCTCCTTCCATGTGATTTACAGCCTTGGAAACCCACTGGAAGCTCAACTATGAGTGAATTCTGAGTTAACAGCAATGAGTGTCTTTTGGCTGGTTTTTAAAAAATGTATAATTGCTATGTATCAGATGGACAATGACTAGGGATGACAGAAGGAGAAATTATGCCTTCCAGCTGTGATGCTGGAGAAGAGTGTTGAATATAACATGGACTGCTAGGAGAACAAACAGGTTTGTCCTGAGGATGGTGAAGCCAGGCTGTTCCTTGGAGGCAAGGATTCTGAAGCTTCACCTGATATACTCTGGACATGTTGAAAGGAGGGACCAGTCCTTGGAGAGGGATATCATGCTTGGGAGGGTGGAGGGACAGCACCGGAGAGGAAGACACTCAATGATATGGCTTGATTCAGAGACTGTGGTAATTGGGGTAGGTGTGTCAGAGACAATAATAGAGCACGTTTCAGGGCTAATGTACATAGTGTCACTATAAGTCACAGTTGACTCGATGGCACATAACAACAACATATAAAAACATTTGAATATATGTTCTGGATTTGTGTCCCTCAAAATATGAGTTGCAAATCTTAACCTCTATCTTGGGTTGTCCCTTATATGAAGGACAAAGGATTAGTTCAGCATATCTTCAATGTTTTGAGACATGGAAGAGATTAAACAGCACTCAAAAGGAGCAGTCTCCGGGTGAGACAGAAGCCAAGCTACCTGAAGACTGTCCTCCATGAGCAGACACTTGGAAGAGCCAGCAGAGAGGCAAAGAGTTCTCCTAGGGCTGACTTCCTAAACTTGGACTTCCATTCTCTTAAACCGTGAGAAAATGAGTTTCTATTTGCCAAGGCCATGCACCTGTGGCAGTTTTGTTA